AAATTTCCTCTTGGGGATTAATAAAGGATTTCTATCTCTCTCTGTGGACGTCAGGTCTTAAGAGGTTAAAGATGAAGTCATATGGAAACTGAAAACTTGGTTTCAGGTCAGAGTACGGGTTAGGGAAGTCTGTGGTTAGAGTTAGTGTTCGTCCATCTGTTGTCCTCTGAACTGACGGAAACACGTCTGTGTGTTTGTGAACGCTGCAGTGCTCGGTGAGCTGTGGCGAAGGGATTCAGCAACGGCAGGTGGTCTGCAAGGCCAGCGACAACACCATCGGAGAGTGCGAGGGCGAGAAGCCGGAGACGGTCCTCATCTGCAAACTAAGTCCATGTCCAGGTGGGATTCACATGCACGTCATCGGGGAGCAGGTTTACTGGGACAGGGTTTATTTTTACCAGCTGATTGGCCGGTTTGCTGCCAGTCGTACACACACTGTCAGAGGGAAACCGTTTTTAACTTCTCATGATGGATGCAGAAAGGCTGACTTGTGGGCGTTTAATGCCTGCTGCATCTGGCACATTTAGTTCAGATTCCAGAGAGGCCGCTTCACGTCGTGTGTGGTGTTTGTCTGAAGCAGTCAAATCAAACTGGACGAGTGGTGACACCATAACGTCCATCCTAACACAAGCAGAATTCATCCAGAAGCAACTGCAGGTTTAACAGTGTCGGCTTATATGTCAAAGAAACCCAGATTGTAGGCTTAAGTATTTTTGATCACCCCTCTGATTCACTCTGAACTCCTCCTGCAGCCTTCCTTGTGTTCAGTGAGCTCATATCATCTAGTGTTCTGCTTGTCCTGCAGTCAGTAAATAGCCAATTTAGTGTTTTTAGTCCAAAACATGAGGAAGTCAAATAGTTCCTTGTGTTCTGCAAATAGCCCCGTCGCTTGTTATAGCAGTCTAACAGCACAGCTCTGTTCTCCTGCAGTACCAACAGTATGTGGATCTGGTGTACGGTCGTGTTTAGGAACGTTTTTTCAGCTCAATTTTGTCCTGTTTGTTTGTTTGTTTTTTTGCTGTTGTGCGTCCAGGTCAGCCGGAGTCTTCTCTCACTGCTGAAACAGTAGAAAATTCCACGATGAAAGACGAAGCTGTGTACCAAAGGGTTCCTGAAAACCCGGTCCAGAAAATCTCCTCAAGTAAGTCCACATGTAGTTTGTTGAAGACAATCACTTTGATGTAAACCTCAACAGTGAAAGTGAATTTTTTTCCTGCTCACTCTTGCTCTGACTCGTTCCTTTTCCCTGTTCTTACCAGATGAACCTTGTCTGGGGGATAAATCGATTTTCTGCCAAATGGAGGTCCTGGCCCGCTATTGTTCCATCCCTGGATATTATAAGCTTTGTTGTGAGTCTTGTAACAAGAAAGAGAGCCTGACCACACACGTTCCCGACTTCCACAACACCCCGGTGGCCTTCGCTGAAACCGAGACCTCCACCCTTTCTCATCCTGCCTCACCCAAAACCCCTCCGGTCGCCACCACCCAGACCCCGCCGCAAACCACTAAAGCCGTCAGTCGGTGGCTCCTCTCCACTGCCCCGGTGCCGACCACGGCCGCCGGCGCCGCCGCTCAAGCTTCACCACCGACAGATGCTGCTCAGCCCCAGAGTCCTACCGGCGACTACTTCCTCACCGCCGGGAAGAGAGATTCGGGCGCGGGGCATCTTCTACCTCCAGGGTCGACCCGGCCCACAGCAGACTCCAGTGGAGGTGCCTCTAAAGAGCACAGTCCAAACAGCACTTTAGGCCCAGTCGCTGCCAGGTCAAGAAGGGACAATTTAGGATCCGAGAGGGACTCGAGTCACAGAACCCTGTCAGCTCAGAAATGAAGAGCGAGCGTAATGTTGTGAACGTGCTGCTCAGTGAGATGTCTCAAACATCGGCTCCGGCGCGGTTTCTGATTCACTCTTGCTGCAGATAATGTCTTTTTTTTTTTTTTTACGATTTATTTTTTTGTTTCCATGCCAGTGAACTTAGACCAGACCAGTGATGGTTACCTCATCAAAAAACAACCAACTGGAGGGCGATGTGTGAGCAGCGTCGCTCTGTCCTCTGTGCTTCGAATATGAAACGGGAGAAAACAAAAAACAAGTTGTCAAACCGAAGGTGCTGTAAACTAAAACGACTACAAGACGTGTTCAAAATGTGATGACTGCATTGCTACATTCGTGTTTTTATCTGTGTACAGTTGTGTAAGCCTGTTTTTTTTTTTTTTCTCTCCTTCAAGTGCATCAGAACTACTATTGAACTTGTATTGTGAACATGCGGAGAAGGTTACGGAGGTGCATGTAACTGCTGTGGATGCTCGAGTGTGCCACTGGAAGAACCGCAAACTAGCGTCCAGATAGTCCGTTAGCAAGCTGCTAAATTTACTGAAGACATTAAAACTGGAGTCATGCATTAGACGCCTGCACAAAGACGTCATTCCTTACTGTCCTGATCCTAATTACTGAGCTGCAAAAATGATTTTTTTGTTGCTCTGTTTGCTGATATCTTTGCCTCCTTTTATTCGCTCTCTCCTTCATTTTCCACGTTGCAGTAGCTCCGATTCAAAGGCGGCTCTCACATATTAAGATGTTTACATCCAACCAACAGAGGAGTACCTGGAGGTTTCAGCAGAAGGTGCCAGAACCGTGCATCAAACTTAAATTTACAGCTCCAAACAGCATTTTAAAGCTGTCATGTTGGCAAAATATTGTAATTTTACAATTTTTCCGCCCATGTTTTAGACCAAACAATTCATTAAAAAGTCATCAGGTTGATTGTTTTCACGCTTCCAGTCTGAGCTCATATTGACCATACTAACCAGGAGAGGTCTCTTTGTCTTCTGAGCCGACAGGACAACAGCGAGAGAAACGTCAAACTGTTCCTTTCATGCTAGTTTAATGAATGTGCTTGTGATGTTTCTTTGAATAATTTATCAGGCTGTCAGTTAATTATAATCAATCACTTGTTAATTACTCCAGTGGCACACTCCAGACTTCATGGTCATCACTCCTGGCAGGGAGCTTCATGGCTTCTCTGTCCCCCGGTGCTCTTTTTCTTTTTGTTTTGTTTTTGTTGTTGTCCAAATCGAACATTCTCACTGAAAAAAAAAAAAAAAAAAAGAAAAAATCAGGACTGTTTGCAAGCCAACGCCACTGTAGCATGCCCTCTGTCTGTCTGTCTGTCTGTCTTCGTGGAAGTCAGTCCCCTAACGCTTTAAGAACAGAAAAGATTTCATAAAAAAACATTCTGATATATATTTGTTTTTGTAACTGATACGTCTTTTTTTTCAGATAATAATGTATATAGTGTAAATTACAAGTTATGAGAAGTTGTACACGTTGCAGTCGGAGAACACCGGCGATGCTGGACGTCTGCAGACCGCTTCGGTCGCGCCGTCACCGCGTTCCCGCGTCGCCGGTCATAACGCCATTATGTTCATTGTATAGTTCTTGTATATACGTACGTGAATGAAAGCTTTAAATGTTAATATTTATTGAATTTTTAAGTGGTATGGTGAAAAAAGTAAAAACACATTTGAAAGAACGGAGATTCTCTTGTGGTTGCGCTTCATGTTTGACCGTCGCACAACTGATGATGATGAAACTGAGCGTCCTCGAGGTTACCATGAGGTCAGTCTGAATGAAGATTTGCTGCAGTGTTCCCGTAAATATGATGCACAAAATATCTTCATAATGCAATGACAGACAATTAATCAGTCAACGTAGGCACATTCAAGTACTTTATTCACTCTGCACTCTCTATCCAGTAACTCTTAGTGAGGCTTGAGTAGCACAATGTGACATTAATTCCTATTACAAGCCAGCTTCCTTCTCTGGTCCCTGCCAGCTCTGCGCTGCAGAACTCCCGAACCGAGCGTCTCCTCTGGCCTTTGTTTCGTCGCTTCTCAAAAGGTGGGTGTTTTTGCCAAACCGCCGGGCTGCCACGATGCCTCCACGTCCCCTCGGTGATCCTCTGAACGACGACAAGGTGCTGCAGCAGCCACACGGAGGCCGTCAGCTCAAGTCGAGGCGTCTGCGGAGGTGTCTGGTGAAATCCAGCTGAGCTCGGGGCAAAGCCTGGTTGACAATGGACTTTGGTAGCCAGCCCTGAGAACAACAGTGAAGCATGTCTTGGTGAAAAAAAGACAAACATTTACTGTTAACATGCAAATATGGTTTCTTATAGAAAAGATCGACTCCAATCCAGATTCCAAATTGCAGTTTGACAAAATAATTTAACTGGAGGATCCACTTACTGGCATCTTCCCAGACTTTAAACCACATTTTAGGGACTTTAATTGATTGGAATATTTGTTTTTTTAGTTTGACAGCTTCCCACCAACAGAAAAGCAAACTTCATCAAAAACATAATGAGATGCAATTAACTAAAAAAACAAAGTGCCAGAAGAAGCTGGTAAAGAGACTTTGAGTGAAAAGTGCAGCCCACGAATTTAGCGTTTGACTTCTATAAAGTTGGAGATGATTTACAGCAATTAAATCGGCCTCCAGGCAAGCTAGAAAAAAAAAAAGATCTATGTTTACGATTATGCTGTTAAATAGCACATTAGAGCCTCATCGCCTCTAAAGTTTTCATCAAAATACTCGAAAGTTTCCAGTTGAATAGCCATTGCATAATCTAACTTATTTTTTCCAGATCACTAAAAGCCTTTTCTTTTGCTACAGAAGATGCCTGAAAAGTGCTCCTCAAGTGACTCTGAATAAATGCGGACTCTCAATGCCAAGAATAAAAAAAAAAAACCTTGCCATTTTAGACTCTATAAACTCCATTCAGCAGTTTGAACGCGTATTGTCTTCCTCCGGCGTCCCTGACCTTCTCATGTCTTCCTGCTTATCTCAGACACCAGCATACTTAGTTGTGATAGGATATTCTTTTCCTGGAGGTGCCTCTTATCTCAAAAATGTGTTTTCCATATCAGTGATTTCAACAACCTGAGAGAATATGAGCAGGTTGCTCCACGTTCACCAACAGCTTTTTTAAATAAAAGGGCATTTTCCTGATCTGAAGTTATGATTCTACAACATCGACCCCAAACTGAAACCTGAAATCATTCTCATACAGTGTTATTGTGTTTTGTGTCCTTTGCTTATTGTACACGGCAGAAAGTCACCAATCACCAGATAAAACCCGGCAGGAGTGTTTAGAAGCAATAAAAACACCTGCAGGCTCCCATCTGTGCAACATTCATTCATTACACGAACATGTTTACTGCAATAAATAAGTATTACACACATTTCCTATAGACACAGAACTCCGTTACTTACCTTGATGTCCATGTTGAGGAGCCACGTGAAGCGGCTTTTCCTCGAACCCTCGTCCAGAGCTTGTATGATGATGCAGGTTGGACCGTCCTCGGCTCTGCGCACAGCCAAACAAACTCATCAATGTTTGTATTTAATTAAGTGCCAATCTATATTGCAAATGTCCTTACAATCGTCTGTTATCGGTGTGAACTACAGCACAAACCCAGTAGGTTTGTATTCATGCTGCACTGTTTGGTCCAGGCTGAAATGTCAAGTGCTAACATGCAGTCTGGTGTCACGCAGTTCATTCATGGTGCCTTCAACATGAAATCTCATTACTTTGGTGACTCCTTGACTTTTTCATAGAAGCCTTAAAGGTCAACATTTACATGTGTTAATGATACGGAAACATTCACGCTAACAAACAACACGATAATCAACATGTTAAAGTTCGCTTTGTCGTCGTGTTCAGCACCACTGAGTCACTACGAGACCGACTGTCCCCGAATATATAAAAATATGCTTCTGCTTTCAGTTATTGTTCTCTTTGTACCATCTTCACATTCTTCAAAATCCTCTGATATCCATCTAATAAAAGTGTTTTCATCTCACACATGAGATGTGACAGCAGACACCGACATCAGCGAGACTGTCTGCTCAAATTAAAATGTCAAAGCAAAACCAAACCAGAGTTTCTTTCAGCCGTTGTTCTGACACCTTATTACCTGGACGACTGAAACCGAGACGCTTCATATTGCGGCAGAAAGTCCAGTGGTGCTGTTGAGCCCACAGTGATTAATGACTCGTGTTCTGCAGACGGTCCCATACCTCACAAAGCCCGCCTGAGGTGGGAATGACTCCAGGTGAATCGCTGCTCCTCCGATAACGACGCTGGACTTTCGTTTGCAGCTGTGTCGGATACTCAGGAAGTCCCTTTGGCCAATCAGGTTTCCTGCCGTCTCGGCTGAAACCTCGTGAGTGATGATCGTTTCTGGTCCGACGTGTTTTAGAACCTGCGACCCAGAAGACAGACACATTTTATACATACCTACAGGACTGAATTGCTTCTTCATGTCTCCGGTGTGACCCTGAGCAATCTGAGAAAACATTATATACAAGGCATCAGCTATAAACAGAAATGTGCAGGCAGCTGGACCTCCACGAGAAACTTTTTCCACTCTGGCTTCACGCGGTACTGTCTAACCTGTGGTATGTACAGAAGTCATAGTTTCACAGCTTATGAAACATCCAATTATCACCAGTAGCCTCCTGTTAGCTGTTAAAAGGTCAGCGGCTCACTTTGATGTGCTGCAGGTTCGGGTTCCACTGGTGCATTTCCTCAACTCTGACAAACAGGAGGTCGTAAAGTTCATCCACGCTGGCCTCCAGGACGGCCTCCAGCCTGAACACCTTCCTGGACCCCGACAACACCTTGCTATGGATCACGTCGCCGTTGCTCTAAGAACACAAGAGCAAGCAACTGAAGACAAAAGAACTCGTTCTGCTTGGAGAAAACCAAGCTTGAACCAATGAGACGGTACCTCTGTGATCTCAGCCTTCCATCCGTCTTTGTCCTCCAACATGCTGAGAGCTTTACTCATCGCTTCTCGGCCTTGTTGCTCATAGAACAGCTCGTCTGCTTTGGCTGGCTTCACATCTTCTGGTCTGGCCTCTGTAAAGGAAAGACTTTTGTTAATGCAAAAAGTATTATCTAAACAATTTATGGGGAAAAAAAAAAGATTGTTTAATTTACCATGAAAACGTAAACTGGCTTGTGGTCTGAGCTGATGTTGGATTTGTCCCGATTGCTGCCGGTACGTGATCTCCTGACCTATTACTGCCAAAGCTGTGCGTTGAAGTCCTGCAGGGTTTAAAGGAGAAACATGAAAGCTCGAGAGTCTGAGCCAGGCAGGATGGAAGATTTGCATAAAAGTACAGTGAATAAGAACAGGCCTCTGTTCAACTGAGGGGAGCGTTTACCTGTCATAGTCCTCAGGTGAGGGTAGGAGATTCCACAGCACAGCTTTACGACGGCAGGCAGCATGCTGTCTGTCTTTGGAAATGACAGCAAAGCAACAGAGCGCCCATCTGGTCTTTATATGGCTCACGAAGGACGCTCGGATGAGATAAGGGCAAGACGAGAAGATAGGACCTGCTCTAAATTCTGTCCTGAAGGCCGGACTTGACAAGAATTTTACAAACTAAAACAGAGCTTCGGATGCAAAGGCGGAGACGAAACGCTGCGGCGAGACCTTGCAGGAATCGTGCACTACGGCCTGATTATTCACTGTTTTATTTTTAAACGCTCATTCAAAATCCCAATTATAAAATTAATAGAGCATATGAAGATTAGGGTTTCCAAATAGCTGCAGCTCAAATTAAAGCACCTACTTTAAGATATGCCTTTATTTATCTCACAGTGGAGAAATTCACATTGTTGTTAGCAGCATTACACACGGAGACACACACATACGAGACAGAAACATGGACATGGACATAGAAATATAAGAAATAGTGCAAATAACATTTACATAAGTAATGAAGAAAACAGCAAACTGTCAAATCTATTTAAAAAAAAAAAAATCTAATTATCCAGCTCCCAAATAGCTCTAAATTAAATGTGATGGAGCAATTAATGACAAGCTACTTCAAAACTGGTGAGACAAAACAGACTGACTAACGCTGTGAAGTACAACGAACTGCCATGAGACACAGGGTAAAATACAAGAGGCAATGAGGGAAGATGGAAAACATTTGAGGAGAACATCACGGAGCAGGTGTGAGGGCAGGGCGTGCAGGAAGTGAATCTACAACAGAGACAACAGGTTAGTGATTTCAAAATAAAACAGGAAGGACAAGACATGAAATGTGCAAACATAAAGCAGAAACTTGACGGACATGTCAGACACTGAGGCCTCCGTGGAACAGGCTGGCTCCAGGTCACCGTGCAGCTGCTTAGCTGGATTTGGATCTGAGAAGTTTGGAGGCTGAGTGAATGACCTGGGCTTTTCCTGACACAGTTTTGATGTGTGGTGAGATCACGCTCCTGCTGGTGGAGGCTGGTGCCGCTGATTCAGAAACTGCTTGATCTGGAAACAGTTGAAAGCTGCAGAAGCTTTTTCAGAATCCTTTGGGCGTCATGGTAACAGGGAATGATAACGTCTAACCAAAAAGTTAGAAATGCATGGACTAGCTTTACAACATCACTCTGAGACAGGATGCTCCTAGTTTTGAGAATATTGCACAAGTATAAAAAGGTCATCCTTGAGACTTGATGTTACGACCAGCTCGCCAGGGAAAAGGGAAGTAACATAAAACCCTGATAAAAGTGAGGTAGCTAAAGACTAAATGAGTGCTGTGAAAACAAGAACACAAGAAGACCGTAACCTAGAGTCTAATATTGCTATTATGCAGAAAAATAAAATAAAATGATCTAACTAATCAGATCTAACAACAAAAACACAATCAGAACAGCACTCAAACGCTAGTGAGGCTAACAGCCAATCTAAGGGGGATGCAGTGTTCTCAAACAGAACCTGGTGCCTCAACAAGTTCACAAAAGTACAACAATCATCAGACACCAAGAGGCACATGAGCGGAGCTGCCAGCAGCTGGTCTGCTGGCATCTTATGTCCTCCTGGTGGCTCCTGATTGGTAGATCAGCCTTCTCCCGCACAGGTGGATGGAATCTCATCAGCTCAATCAGATCTTGCTGCAGAGTGACCTGAGGGCTGAGTGCATACACACACACACACACACACACCACAGACAACAACACACACACACACCTGCTGAGGAGAGAGAGGTGAAGTTCCTCAGAACACCTGCTTTATTTAGAAGGTAAATGACATACCGTGGTCAGAAATAACTCACTGATTCCAAGTTGCTGCCATCTGCTGCCATAGCAACTGCTGCCTGTTCTTCACCAGTCAAACCTTTAAGGGAAAGTGGCAAAAAGAGAGCAAAGTAAAAAACAAACTACACTGCACATCCTCACAAACACCATCTCCACCATGAAGCATCATCACGAGGTGGGGATGCTTCTCGGCAGCAGGCCTCGGGTGTTTCTGTGTTGTTTAGGACTAAAAACCACAACTTCAATTTTGTCTGAATGTAGAAGAATACAACTGGTCATCCAGGTGTTTATGCTTGAAGTTCAACTAACGGATTTATTTCACCCGGCTTCACAGAGAAAAATAGCAGGGTGTCATCAGCATAGCAACACATTTTACAATATCTTCTAATAATATTACAAAAGGGAGGCATGAACAAGATAAAAAAAATATCGGTTCAAGCACAGAGCCTTGTGGAACTCCATGACTAACTTGTGTGTGTCAAAGAGTCATTATTAAGATGAACAAACCGTAGTTTATCCAATAAATATGATTTAAACCAGCGCAGTGTGGATCCTTTAATCCTGATAACAACTCAAACGCAGCACTGAGATAATGAGTCTAGAGAGGCTAGTCTGAGGCCACAAGATGCTCATCAGTGACGACCACTAATGCTGTTTCTGCTGTTTTCTGTGATGCATTCTAAATCATGACCAAACATCTTTCCAGTTCTGTGCAGATGGTAATTGGCACGCGACAGCTGTTCCAGTAATTTATAGAAATGAAGGGAAACTGTGATGTAGGTCTATGACTGGCAGCAGCAACCTTTCTGATTAGCAGTTTGATTACCACCATTTAAAGGCTGGCAGTCTGTTAATAAAGAGCAAAATGAAATCATGCTCCATCTGAAAGGGAAGTGTTTATTAAAGAACAAACATCCTGAGGCAGTCCAGCTGGAACGGAGCCTCGCAGACGTGCTGCTGATTAAGATGAAACGACCGTCACAACAGCTCAGAGAGACTGAAAGCAGAGGCACAGTCCAAATAGAAAACAGGTCCCACAGATGCCACAGACACTACACCTAATGACAAAGACGGGGTTTTATCTCTGACAGTCACGATTTTCTTGGTGAAGAAGCTCGTGAAGTATTCACCACTGAATACTGAAGAGGCTCCACAGAGGTTTAAGTCAGTCTGGCTCCTTCAGAGAAAGTTAAACTTTGTTTCTGAGGGCTGAGGAGTAATCAGCAAAAACTAGTGTGTGTGCATAATTAAACTACTGGTGCTCCTGAGTGAATAATCCATTAATGGGTTTGGTGAAACGATTTAATCATCTACGCACAGAAATTAATTAATTTTGAAACTGCAACCTTAAAACCGAGCCTGAGTTAATATGCACAACAGCAGAATCATCCAGTTCACCTCAGACCAACATTAAAACACCTTATAGCAGGGGTGTCCAGTCCTGGTCCTGGAGGGCCACAGTCCTGCATGTTTTAGATGTGTCCCTCTTCCATCACACCTGATTCAAATGATCAGGATCATTATCAGGCTTCTGCAGAGCTTGATGATGAGCTGATCATTTGAATGGACACCCCTGCCATATAGAATTGAAGTGAGGGCTGCACGGTGGCTCAGTGGTTAGCACCGTCGCCTCACAGCTAGAAGGTCACCGGTTGGCATCCCGGTGAGGACACCCGGGATCTTCCTGCGTGGAGTCTCCATGTTCTCCCCGTGCAGCGTGGGTTCTCTCCGGGTTCTCCGGCTTCCTCCCACAGTCCAGAAACATGCTGAGGTTAATTGGTGATTGTAAATTGTCCGTAGGTGTGAATGTGAGTGTGCTTGGTTGTCTGTCTCTAAGTGTAGCCCTGTGATAGACTGGTTACCTGTCCAGGTGAACCTGCCTTCACCCTGAGTCAGCTGGGATAGACTCCGCCCCCCCACGACCCTAGTGAGGATTAAGGAATAGAGATGATGGATTGAAGAGTGTTAAAACACAAGAAGGTTGAATAAGAACACCAACTGTTTGCGAGCGTGTGAAAATCCTAGAGACAGGTCGGGTTTCTCTTTTCTCCTCTGGCACTCCCTAAAGGCAAGAAAAATACCAACAATATACAGGTTGAATTCAAATTCAGATAACTTTATTTATCCTCTAGGGCCAATCCAGTTGGTCAGCTGAGGGACATTTCTTGAGTTTCTACCCTAAATGTCAGGATGAAATTGTGAAATCCACTGTACTCTGCTAATGATTTTCTTTCATATTGCTTTACAGGCCAGAAATAATTATCATCATCACAACATATTGAGTCTTCTGGGCTTCACATGGTTGAGAAAACACAGTGAAGAGCCTTCACCATCTAATGAACAGAGGAAATGTCAGTGCGTCACACAGACCAAACGGTGTTCAGACGTCAGACAGGTTGTAGAGGGAGATTATAAATAACATCCTCTTGTCATGAGTAAGAGAAGATCTTCATCCTCAGACATGAAACACATGTTGTGTTAGTTTGTTTGTTCATTCACTGAGTGTGTTCCTGTTTTTTTTTTTTTTTAGAATGAGGGACACATCTATGTGTAAATGATTTAATCTCATCCATCCATCCATCTGTACTGATCTGTGCCGACTCCTCTTCCTTCTACGGGGTCATTGCTGAGTCTTGATTTTTGCTTTGCACTCAGTTTTGGCAGAATAATTGTTAATTTATTGATCTGTTCTGTGGTCATTAGTTTAGCATATCATATCAATAGGTTTCCCAGTTCTGTTGTGTGTGTATAAATAAACCTTTTTACTAAATTATTGACGTCATTTATTAATTAATTCACTTTTTTTACTCTCTGAACTGACTTCTTCCCACATAATCCCTGTTGGTTTATCATTTCATTCATTCATCTTTGTCAGGGCAGTGACTTACAATAGTTAGTTCATTCATTCATTCACTCACTCACTCACTCTTTAACCCCTTCAAAGTTTTTTCCTCTTATCTCTTTTTAAAACACTGAATCATGGTAAACAGATTTCTACAAATTAATGTCAATTATTTTTTTAAAAAAGTGTAAAATATAAAATACCTAATTTCTCAAGAGTTCACCTCCTTTAAAGTGACTCACCTCATTTACCTGCCACCCCCTTAGTGCTGGAAGTAACACCGGTAATGAAATGAAGACCGTCTCAGCACAGTAAAGGCCTCACAAGCACCTGTAGTACAAAGACA